AATGATGGCACAGGTGCCCCCTGGAACCTCCCCTCCTACAAGACATGCACCACCCTCTGTGGTCATGATGTCCTATTTTCACTGCCACCAAGGCCAGCCAGGTGCCTGGGGAAGCCAAGCCTGAGCTGGAAAGGAGAGAATGAGCCAGCGAGGGGCCAGGATGGCTTCTGACTCCTGTCTGAGGGTGCTAGCCTAAAAAGGACTTCTTCACCTCTGGGTCTGATCACAGACAACAAGTCTTAGTCCCTTGTGAAGAAGGACTCAGGGCAGAAAGGGCTGGGAGCAGGGAGATCAGATTCTTCTGCAGAGTGGGGCCTGCCAAGTAAACGAATCCCTGCATAAGGAATGGCATCAGGTCATGGAAAGGCACCAGGCGCACCTGAGTCCTGCCTGCAGGGACAGGGTAGAGTGTGTGAGATGGAAGGCTGTGGGCCCTCACTGAGCCTTTGCTCACTGAGAAAGATACTCTGTCCATGCTGCATAAAATGGAACTGCACACCAAGGAGATGACTCAGTGGTGTAAGCACCTGCCTGGCAAGTGCAAGGTCCTAAGTTCAATCTCCGGTACCCTATGCTCCCCCCCGGGCCCCCAAAAAACCAAAATGGAACTGCAAAGTGGCTCGTCAGGCACTAAAGGTCAGCTTACCTCTCCTGAGTGAGCTTTCTGGCAGTCTTACCCATAACTAGGTGTTATGGTTTGTGTCTGGTTGTCCCCCCAAAGCCTCATGCAGTCATGGGGTGGACTTCTAGAGTCTGTGATTAACTCATGATCCACTGGAATTATGGGCATGAGTGCTGCTGGGATTATGGGTGTGAGTACTGCACCCAGGCGGAGGCAATCAGCCTGAATGCAACACAAGGGAGACAGACTTGCTCTCCGCAGCCATTGTTGCTGCTACTCCTCCCTCTTGCTGTTTGCTGCCGCCATGCCCTGCTGCCCTCTGTCATGTGCCAGTCTGCCTTGGAGCCCGTCAAGTATGGCTTAAAACTTCTAGTAACTCTGAGCTAAATAAACCCTTCCCTCCCTAATTTTGAGTGTCGGGTATTTGTCCCAGCAACAAGAGAAGAGTAACTGAGACACCAGGCTTCTGCTCCCTTCTGGAGTGATAGACTGACACGTGCCTTCTGAGTGTGGGAGGAGGGGTAGTACAACAATAATCAAGAAAGTGTACTAGTTGAGCGCAGTGGTACACATCTATCACCCCAGCTACTTGGAGGCTGAGGAAGATGATGGTAAGTTCTGGGTACTCTGGGCAACATAGCAAGACTTTATCTCAAAAAAGTAAATTAAAATAGGGTTGGGGATGTAGCGCAGTGGTAGAGTGCTTACCTAGCATGTGGAAAGTCCTGGGTTTAACCCCGAGTACAGGAAGAAAGAAAATTAAAGGTGTATAAGCACTCTTTTACACAGGAAAAAGCCCCAAACTACATGATTTTAAAAGTTAGATGTGCTGCTTTATTGAGGTTAATTCCCTTACTTTACTACATAAGATAAGAATCTGGGTACGGGAGTACTGTCTATAATTACAGCTCTCTGGTCTGGGAAGCCAAGGCAGGAGCACTGCCAAGTCAGCCTGGGCAACTTAGTGAGATAGCAGGACCCTGTCCCAAAAAAGTAATACATAAAGAAAGGCAAAGGGCTGGCCAGATAGCTCAGCAGATTAAAGTACCTGCTTTGGCTGAGTAAAGTCGCCAGGGTTCTATCCCCAGCATGTCATGCTGGCCCCGCCCCTGGGACACACTGACATGGCGATTGAGACTGGGTGTGGTGGCATGCGCCTATAATCCCAGTACTTGGCAGGCTGAAAACAGGAGAATCCTTAAGAGTCTGATCTATGTAGTGAGACCCTGTACACTCTGTAGACCCTGTCCTAAATTCTTAAAAAAAGAAAGGTGAGATAGCTCAGCAGTCTAAAGCACCTGCTTAAGCAAGCTTAGGCAGGCACAGGGGACCCTGGTTCAGTCCCCAGCCCCAGATGTTGTGCCAGCTCCACCCTCAAGGCAGGGCTGAGCCAGCCAAAATAATAATAATAAAATTTAACAAACAGAAAGGCTTATGGATGTAGCTCAGTGCAAAGACCCTAGGTTTAATCCCTATGAAAGGGGGAGGGGGAAGCCAGCCCGAAGTCAGCACAGGGAAAATGGACCTCACCGTCCTTTGGCAGTACACAGGACTGGTCCTACCGAGTGGTCAGGGAGAAGAACAAATGGAAAGCCACATAATTACTGGGCTTGAGAATTCAATCCTGGCTGCTCCTTAGGGCATCTAGTGCTTTCAAAGTGGTGAGATTCATGGTTCCTGAGAATTTGATTATAAATATGGACCCCTCTCTTGAAAAAAAAAAAAAATGCACTAGCTCACATTCACTCCTACTTACAATCTCCAAGAGTCCTTGGATTCACTGGGATTTCTGAGTGTCATGCCCAAGAAATAAGAAGAAGAAAGAAGAGGGGAGGCCAGGACGAAGATAGGAAGCGTCACCATCTAGGCAGAGCACCAGTCCAAAGGAGGCACAATGTGCTAGAGGGTGGCAGGAAGCCCCAGTCCTTTGCTGTTTGCTTGCAGGTGGTCTTGATGGAGAAACAGAGTTCAGTGGAACTCCAAGAAGCCCACCCCAGCACTCAGGACACTGACCTATTGCCAATCACAAAGGTGGACGGGAGGGGTGGAGAAGGCTGCCCTTTTTCTCTCTGAAAACAAGAGCAAACTAAACCAATTAACCGAGAGCCAGGCGTGTTACCTCAGCTGGTCTCTTGCCTATCATTTTCCCAACTCTTCCTGAGCCCAGCTCCCAGTTAGAGGCTGGGGGCCAAGACTGTCTTTGAAGGAACTAGAGATAAATGATGATGGTCACCCTTGCAGGAGAGTGAGAGGATCTTTCAGCTGACCTCTGGTAACCAAAGCCCCTTAGATTACAGAATTAATTGCATAAATCTTTTTTTATTTATTTTTTAATTTTTATTTATTTATTTATGTTTGTATGTGTGTGTGTGTGCGCGCGCGCATGTGGCCAGCTCAGCCCACCAGGGGGCGGGGCTGGCTGGCATGTGGTGCTGGGGGATTGAACCGAAGTCCCTGTGCTTTGCTAAGCTTGTTCTAAGTAGGTGCTTTAGACCACTGAGCCATCTCACCAGCCCGATTGCTTAAATCTTAGAAGAAAAAGAATTCCCAAATATATTCTGTAGGGAAAAAGGAAATTTCATTTTGCAAATAATCTGGAAAAAGTGTTGACGCTTTGCAGATCAGAAGAACGAACTGCTCTCTTGCATGCCTCTGGCCAGGTAAACAGAAGTCCAAGAGCCAAGGCTTCCCAAGCAGGTGAGTTCATGAGCAGGCAGGCCTCCCTATGGCTTAGAAACTGTGGGAGCCAGTGGGAGTCCCACAGGAACTGGGCTGTTAGAAGCAAGACTCCCAGTCAAGTTGCCAGGAATGCCACAACCTGACCTGAAGAGAAAGGAACAGGACTCTGACCTGGGTGGGGACAGCCCGGGCAAAGACAGACACACAGAGGAGAGGGAGCAGCGGCCCCTGCCCCTGCCAAGAGCCTCAGAGCATGCACCACAGTCCTGTTCTGAGCTGATAGTGGGTTCTGACCCTGCAGATCTGCTTCCTCAGACTTGAACCCTACGAGAAGTATTCTCAGAATCTGGTAAGGACGTGAGAGTAGCCAACCGCAGCTCCACTTTTTTTTTTTTTTTTTGGGTCTGGTAACAATTTTATGGACCCTGTCATAGTGTGTTTTCGAAAGGCTTTTCTTTATAAGACGTTTCCTCCTTCCTCCCTTTCCTTACATATGTAGATCGCAGTGTTATGATTAGGAAGGTAGATTACGAAATCCAGAATGAAGACAAAGATTCTACATCTTGTGGTATGGCAATAAAGCAGGTTAGGATTTTAGGACTCAAGTGATCCCATTTAGGAGCCAGAAGAACAACAAAGCTGCTCTTCAAGATGCCTTATTTGGACAGTAGTTTTTGACATGTCACTAATAGCTATTAACCAGACATTTCAAGGGCAAGAAACTCTTTCCCCAAAACTACCTTTTTAGACATTTCCAGGTAGGTGCCAAGTAAAAGAATGGGCACTCGATTGAAAGTCTCAAGATAGGGCTTTGCCCTCGCTTGGACCCCTGTAGGGCTGGACCTCCAGGGGAGGGAGCCCCGTGCAGGCTGCTCTTCCTGTCCAAAGGGCCTTGGTTTTCTCATCTGTAAATGAGGGTGTTGAAGCTGGAGATACAGCTCAATGGTAAAGTGATTACCAACTATGCATTCTACCTTCTGCCCCACAAGAAGAAATGATTTAAAAAATAATATTAAGTGTGTTAGTTTAAGCCTTCCCAAGGCTCATTCTGTCCTATTTCTACCTCTGTGCCTCTGGTCGAGAGGAGAAGAGTCATAAATGCTTATTTCCTGCCTTTCTTTAGGACAGATCCCGAGCCTCGCTGCTGGGCCCTGCCCCTTCCTGACATGACCTGGCAGCTCTGCTCTTTCTCCTACTCTCATGCTTCTCCCTGCTGTCTTGTGCTTCTCTGTCACTTCCAGCAGAGGCAGCCCTGTCCCCTCGCCCCCGAGACACGGCCCACTCACCTTGGAAGGATGGCTGCCCACACTGCACTCCTTCCTGGGCCACACTCTGGGACTGTGCTCAGCACTCACGCTTGTTACTATGGCTTGTAAATGGTTTGGCATTGTCCTATGGGTGTGTCCTTCTCCAGCCTGGTGCCCTGGTGCCCAGGCTTCCCCGCCCACAAGGCTGTGGGTGGTGGTCAGGTCTGGGAGGGGAGGAGAAAGTGACCCACCCCTCCTCCTGGTGGGGCAAGGAAGAGGCTATAAGCAGGGCTGCCACTTTTTTTTCTGTGTTGTTTTTGTAAGAACAGCTTGAATGACAATCCAGCGAATGACTTGGTAGGGACAGGGACAGCTAGGACAGCTCCATTCAGCTCTATGAGGGACTGAGAGATGAGACTCCGTGGGTGGTGGTAGTGGTGGGCATGACCTACCGTCCACGGTGACTTGGCAGGAACACTCCGCCTGGCCAGCGCTGTTCTTGGCTATGCACTTGTACAGGCCCTTGTCCTCGGGCAGAGCCTTCTGGATAGAGACAGAGCACAGTGAGCCTAGAGGAAGAAGAAAGAGCTGGTGAGTGGACACTGCCAGCATCTGGAGCATGAGAGATGAGCATGTGCACGCAGCAGGGCAGAGGCCTGGTGCAAAGCAACTCCCCTTCTTCCGGGAAGCCAGGGGACTCGGCTGACGTCCTGCACCCAACAGAGCTGCTGCCTCAGTCTGAGCCTCTGGGTACCTCTCCTCCTCCAGAGAGCCCTCCTTTGGGGACCTGAAGCAGAATCAGGGAGAGAACAGCCTCTGGCCCCAACACAGAGAGGGAACAAGGCGCCACGCCCCGCACACCCAGGACAAGGAGTCAGACACAGGTTACAGATCTGCTGGAGATAGGCTGGGAATGGCCTCTGCCAAGTGCAAGGCATTTGAACTGAGGAATGGTGGCCAGTGCATGGCACTGGGCAGGGGACATCCAGGGCTGCTTCTCTGTAGGGCTGGGTCTCTGGTCACTCCTAGCTGGGTGGGATAGCCTCTTTTCCTTACCACCTTCACTTGTGTCCTTTCTCACCTCCAAGACCCCTATCCTGGCCTGGCTGGGGGAGGGGAATCAGGCTGGCATACACAGGAATCTAGGATCTGGCCCTTGCCCACCCAGCTTTTGTCCAGGGCTGGCCATTTCTCCTCAGAGGCCCCTCCTGTGTGTTTTCCTCATGGGTGGGGAGAGGCCAGCTAACATCAGGGCCTGATGGGCCAGGCAGGGGCAATAGCATACTAGTGCCTGCCTTCCAACACACAGACAAGCCAACAGCATGGTGTCCTGCCCAAGGTTGCTGCTATCAGGGCAGCAACCACGTATGAGGGGAGGACAGAGCCAGAGCCACCAGCCCTGGGAGGCCAGAGCTGTGTGCACCCTTGGGTGTTACATACGGGGTGGGGAGAGTGAGACCAAAAGGGAGTGAGGCTACAGGGCACTATGCCCAAGGGGGTCTTCTGATCTCAGAAAGAACACTCATTCCTGGTCTCTTCTCCTTTCACCCAGACGCACAACCTGACCAACAATATAAGGACACCCAGAAAGAGGAAGAATGGAATCAGTTTGGGCCAGAGAATCTCACTCAGGTTGGGGAGAAAGTAAAGGCCTGATACTTTCCTGGGGCAGAATTACAGATCTTCCATCCTTCCACAGAGCCTCCCCTTTGTAAGGACTCACCTGTACTAGTTCTGGAGATAGTGAACATATCTGTCACCATCAGTCCTCCTCTGGGAGGACAGTAGGCCAAGGTTCCTTCCCACCAAGGTTAGGAGACAATTTGCAGGAACTATGGCTGAAAGGATTGAGGCTGAATCTTCAGAAAATCCAGCATGGGAGCTGGAACCAGGAGGCACAGCAATAGTGGGATGAGGACAGCTGCCTCCTTGGGAAACTGCACTCCCCTGGCTGGCAGGAGGAGGCTAGGGCGGTCTCTGGGCTCAGGGCCAAGGCCCAGGGGAAGCTAATCCCACCTTGCAGTTTTCTTTGTCTGGGTGGATGAAGCTCTAGGAACAGATATCCCACCCCCAAAGTACATCCTGTTCTAATCCTTGGTTTCCTTTCAGTTTTGGTCCCCCGAATGCCTTTGGCCTTAAGCCAAAAAATCACACACTGCTGAGAGTGACAGGAGAGGAGGGCAGCAGTGCACTGGATGGCCCCACCTTCTTCCCCCCAGCTTTACCCCATAGCTGGACTGGCCAGGGCCAAGTCCACGTGCGTGCAGGGGGTGGGGGGATAGGGGAAGGGCTGGGGGCCTGAGAGGCTGGCTCCCCCAGATGAAGAATCTGGTATTTCCTGTGGGACTGCTCATTCCTGACCTCCACAAGGAAATTGTTTCCCAGAGATTTATTTATTTATTTATTTTTTTTTTAACACAGTCTCAGCCTGGTGGGGCTGAACGGATGGGACCGAGGGGGATGGGAGAAGTCAAGAGTAGACTCAGTCCTTCCCAGCCTGTGAGTAAAAGCTCTGTGTCTGGAGGTCTCCCAATGCTCCTTCCCGAGTGGGTGGGCAGAGGGAGGAGGGGATGAGCAGGAGGCATGGAGCCATCGGATAGTCTGGCTGCCCAGCTAGGAGGCTCCTTCAGCTGGCAGAGCCCCCTGGCCTGGCCCCCCTGGCAGGCTCAGACCAACAGGGAAACTCACCTCCAGACAACTGTCTCAGACACAGTGCCCTCCACATCACCTCTAAGCCCCCAGCCCTAGCCGTACCTCTTCAGTGCTCCCATATCATCCCAAGCTCATTGTTACCGAGGTGTGTCCCTAAGGTCACTGCTGACAGACATGCCCATCTCTCACACTAGCTCAGGGACACTGACTGTATCTAGCATGAACTCTGAATCTGGAATGCAATCAGAGTAAAAAAAAAATATTTGTCATTATGAGAATGACAAAGGCATATTTGTGCAGCAGGCGATCAGGCAAAATCTATGCAAGCAAAGATCATGAACTTGTAACATAACCTACTGTTAAAGACAACAAGTTTTTACAGGAAGGAAAAAGTCCTAATTCAGAGGTCTTCCAGTGGATGGTACATACAAGGGAAGTGACTAATGTAAGGCCTGGCATAGAGTAGGCATTGCAGACCTCCAGCTCCTGTAGGATGAACGTCTATAAGTTTGAAAAAGGCTTCACAAGATTCCTCCCTGAAGGTAATTAAAAATGAATCATCTCTTGACAACAACAACAATAATAAATCCTCATAATTAGACTGGGGGAAATGATGGCAGGAGAAGGCCAGGCCTGCAGCAAAAAGCAAAGCACAAAGAAGTCATAGCTCAGGGTCACCTCAACCCTGCCCCTGGCCCTGAAGCCAACCATGATAGGTGTAGAAAAGGTGACCCAGTGTCTGCACTGGAGCCAGCCCAGCTGGCGATACCCTGAACCCCACCATTCTGCAGCTCTAGGGTGTAGGGAGGGGAAGGGTGCTCTCGTGTGTCTGTCCCTCTACGGGTGACTCGTTAGCTCCAACTGATGGCAGTCACAACTCTTCTCAGAATGTCCTCAGAGCTAGCAACAGATACAGGTTCTGAGGCTCATCACAGAATTACAGACATCAGAGAAGCTGTGAAAACTACAAAGCCTAACTGGTAGTGGCCCCACACAGAGGTGCATGTGGCTGGGCAGAGGGTGCAGGTCCCTGGCTGAAGTGGTGACAGTCACTTGGGAAGGCATCTTGGAGCAAATGAAGCTTGATGGTAGAGGGGACCACAGGAGGGCCCAGTGCAGTGGGGCAAGAAGGGATCCACATCAAGGATGGGGGCAGGGAGGGTATGAGCAGGTGGGAAGGACAGTCAGACAGACTTAGCCAGTCCTGTTCCCTTATGAACCACCTCAAACCCCAAGCTTCCCTATTTCTTCCAACACCCAGTTGGTCCAGACACCCACAGCTGGTGGTCTGCCACCCCTTCCTCCTCTCTTAGCCCCATCCCACCCTGCCTTTCCTGCATGCTGAGGCTCTCGATTGTCCTTGCTTCTTGCC